GATTTTCACTTAGGACATCTCGGAAAAAAACGGATAAAATCACTTATGAGAATTTTTGTCTACTGGCTGAACATGGACGATGATATTACGTAAATGGTGGAAAGTTGCAAAGGTTGTGATGCTACGGCGAAAGCACCACCCTCTATACAAAAGCCATGACCTAAATCGACAGACCGTGGTCCAGAATACACGTGGATTACGCAGGACCCATTGAAGGTTACTACTATTTAATAACAGTAGATAGTGTCAGTAAATAGCCAGGGGTTGCCAGATGTAAACACCCGACGACAGAAAACGCCATAAACTGTTTACACGAACTATTCGCGAGATTTGGCGTCGCGGATTGTTTGGTAAGCGATAACAGCCCACAATTTACTTCCAGTGACTTCAAAGAATTTTGTGAGACATATCAAGCAAAGCATATCAAGATAGCTCTGTACCACCCGAGATCGAACGGACAAGCTGAAAGATTCGCTGACACACTAAAAAGAGCGTTAAAAAAAGCCGAGGATGTACCGACGATAAAAGCGATACAACAGTTACTCCAAGTGTACAGAATAAAACCTAACGTGAACACGCCATCGGGTCTTTCATCAGCGGAATTGATGTTTGCTCAGAGAATAAGGTCTGTATTTGAGAAATTATTGTCAAACAAAAACAAAAACCAGTATAAACCTATTGTACCCAAGAGATCATTTAAACCTGAAGAACGGGTTTACTTTAAGATGTTTAGAAACAATATGGCTTACTGTGAGTCTGGTACAGTAATTAACAGATTAAGAAATCTAATGTACACAGTACAAGGCGAGAAGTTTTCACATAGAAGACATATTGACCAATTACAAAAAAGACGAGTTGAGGAGCCAAGCACGTCACCCGCAGAAAACGACGATTCAATGGATGCAATTTGAAGCGTTTCAAATCCAAAGACCGCAGAAAGACACAGAAATAAGAAGGCCAAACAGGAAGAGAAAATTTACCGAACCCCTGATTATCAACCATAAGAGAAAAAAATACTAACTCCCACAAAAGGGATCTAAGGAGGTGGGTGTTATGGGATCCACCCCTTTTTCATACTAGTGGACTCGCCTAGTGTGTATTATACTGCTGCCGGTGAATACCCGAGAGGTAGAGTAACAGAGGAAGTGAGAATGTGAGGTAACCGCTTTATAGGAGCCACAGTTGCGAGCACGTAGACTCAGAAGGAAGTCCTACTTCAATACTGAATTTCCCAGACTATATATATATATATATATATATATATATATATTATTGCTACTAACCGCATTTCTGGATCTACTAACCGTATTACCAATTGCATTATTGCGTCAATACATTTATTTGCTATATTTCATTCCTGCGTTTGTCATTCATTTGAGACTGGATTTCATCTCGGAATCCACAACAGTAAGTAAGAAAATTGACTTTTTACCATATGAACATTTTTTCTTTTATCTGATTTATACATATTTTTTTCAGTTACCGCCGTCGGTTTTCTGTGACAAGGAATATTATATGATAGTTTAATTGTACAGAAATCTAAGAATAAATATTTTCAAAGTATGTCAATGATAAAAGAGATGAGAAATAGAATAGTTTCAGTCAAATAAACAAAAGAAATTTAGTTTAATTCAACCATCGATTATTTTAAATAGTATCCCGATTCTTGCTGTTTTCAAATTCTTGTTTTTTAGGGAATTATACGGAAGTCTAACTCTTATTTCCTGTAATTGTAAAATAAAAGACTGATATCATTCAATAAATTATTCGAACTTATCTACTCAAAATTCTTGTTTGGAACATTCAGATTAAGTCAGTGTCAATTTCTGTCTTTTTTATAATCGCAGAATTTATCCTGCGACGTTTTACAAATTCCTATTTGAATTGTGGGAATTTAATTTTAAATCACAGTAAATGTATTCTTTGACTTTACCCATGTGCTTCCAGAAATCAAATCAGGTTCCAACATGTACCGGAAAGAATCGAACGGATACATTTGCAGAAATATAACAATATCTGATAGTAATATCTGTTGATTAAATTGCAGAATATTGAAGATCTCTTGCAAGATTTATGATTTCTTTATTTTATGGAACAGAAAGTATCTACTCTTACATCTTTATCATATAATAATCGAAAGCACATCAATATATCACACAACGCTTTTCGAGTTTGCTGTAAAATAGTGATGCAGAAAAGAACAGGAATGCTCCTGGCGATAAAATTCTCACCATTTTTCTAAAAAGCTCTTTCAATGGAATTCATACATCGGTACTATTCGGTAACCATGATTCTTGGGATACCTCAATGAAATGTGTATATTTTGTATCTAACAATTCCTTCTCCTCGAGTTAAGATGAAATTAATAGATCTTTTCATAATGATAGCGATGAAGTCCACCGGAAACTGAACCATTATGATTATTTGTTCACACCCAACTTTATATTTTCTATTCTTATTATACTGACAATTTGAAGAAGATAAAAAAAAAGTCATTGTGAGAGAAAAGACCCTGCAAAAGAATCTATAAGATAAATCGCTACAAGATACCATCTTTTCATATGAGCATTCTACGTTGAATAATGACTTCATCCCTTAAGTAGATATTCTTCCTTCTTCTTTTGACTATTTTCACATTTGAGATTTGATGTAATCAAAACGATTTTGCTTTGAGTCGCAATAGATGATTTCCATTCTGTTACGTGATGATTCTATATACAAATGACATACACATATCTTTTATAAGGATGTTAAAATAGCACGTGAGATAAAATATTGAAATTATAAAAAATTCAATTCGGTATGTTCCAAACATCTGTTTTCAAACGCAGACATTTATTTAGTTAGAAAAAGAACGCGAGAAGAGAAAACTTCGTATTGAATAAATGAGCTAATTTGGTAAAATAATATTGAGTACTACAAACAAATCATTAAATGAAATTAAATGTATTATTGGATTGATGAAGAAATGCCATGAGGTTGATCCAATTACTGTTGAAAACCAAAAAAAGCATCATTTCAGATTTGATGAGATTTGTTGACATTTGACTCTTAGTGATGATAACAGGAATTTTTGCAGAGAAGAAATAGATAATGATGATGATGATGATGATATTGATGATGACACTGAAGCAACGCAATGATGATGATGGTGGTGCTGGTCGTGGTGGTGGTGGTGGTGGTGGTGGGTGAATGTGAGGATTGTATTGATGATAAACTTATTTTAGGTATTTAGAGTGCGGCAGAAAATCTCAATGCAAAACTGAATGAAAACGAAAAGTTTGGTTACTTTGAATTTGTGAGAGGACATAATTCATTTTGGATTCTAAAATGGACATGTGTGTCCATGTTTAATAATCGACTTTAAACATTTTCACAAAGAGTTGGAAGAATAGAATCCCCCTACAGGTTAACATTTCACTTGATGTTTTCTCGAAACTCATTAGATTTCAATATTTATCACCTGATATGTGTGCTTGTTGAATCTGATGATCAAGTTTACCTTAATTCATGAGATTAGAGTAATATCCTTGATTCATCTATTTTACTCGTTGGGAGTATTTCCAGTGCCTCATTTATTATTTACATTATGTATCATTCAACTGACGGATTTCATTCTCTTCTCGAGGATGATTTAGAAATGCTGCATTTGAAGAATCAATTTTATTTTCGTCACTGACCTACTGCAATAACTGCATATACTATCTGGAAAAAAAAAACTTTTGTTTTTGTCGAAAAATATTGACTCAAATTTCAATTATTTATTTTAAATTTAGAAATCTAAAAAGTAAATTTACAAACTACTGATATAATGAAATAATTAATGTAACTGAAAATTATTTTATTAGATTTAATATGAACTAATATTATTTTTACTATCATAAGTGTTTTCATTCTGCTTCTATTTGTTTGAACTGAGGTTCAACTGAAGAGGATTCCCATTAGTATTCCAATTGATTTTAATAATACATTAAACTTGCAAAAGCCATATATGAGTCTTCCGGTATGTTCTAATAACTGCAATATTATTCTCTGAGATAATCTAAATGACCCACAACTGTGTGGTTGGCCAGGTTCTTTATTCTTATGTCTATGTTGTCTCGCTTTTTATTTCGCTTTGTTGTCAGGAGCACCTGGGAGATTTTTCTTTATCTTACAAAGATCTATATTATTTATTGTTTTCGTGGTTAACCTAAAATCCCAACCATTATTGGTTGCTTTGGTAGGCGTAATTAGGTCCGTCTTATTATACATGAGATTATATAAAATGTTAAGTTTCATTAATTTATTCGACAGTCTTCCGGGTTTCTCTGAAAATGAAACGAGTAATTCAACACTATATATTTAATCTATAATAAAAGGTGACGATATTTCGTAATGTGTATGAACGTTATGTTCTTTATAGTTTGTCTACGAATGTTCTGCTACTTTTAGATTTCAAATAAGAAATCTAAATTTATTAAACAGATGTTGACCACCCTTCTGTCGTGGTAATGCTTTTCTATAGGTATTCCCGATACATACGAGGTACTGTAGATTGATCTTTGTCGAATGCCCTCAAAATATCAGAAATGAAATGTATGATCCATCTGACATTCATATTAAGGCCCATTCGAAATTGTTAATTGATGTGGCTTTGCTACAAGCATCCTAGACAAATGCCCATCTTGATTATAAATTTCAGAGCACATGTGATAATAGAGTAGGCATTTCAGCATCAAGGATATGTGGCACCAACTATTGTAATGTTTAAATACTGCTAACTCATAATATTTGTCAAGTCGGTGTATATAGGATATTCACTATTTTAGCTTTGACGTAAGATGTTTTCATATCAATTTCTGGGCCGCCTATATCGCTCGGTACCATTTCCTATGAATAACTATACCATATACCATATCGTAGGTAAATCATGTTGTATATTAAAATGTATCTTCTTTACTTCCTGTCTTCCAAACTGCTTTTACTTTTTCTGAGCTAATATTTGGATTTTTGCCACGATGAGTGCAGTTCTGTTTTTCTTTATTTTCCTTTCTGTAATCCGCTACACTATTTATACCGAAAACAAAACATCTTTAATGTGGTTTGTATCTTTTTCCTTTCTCTCTCTCTCTCTCTATTTCTCTCTCTATCTCTCTTTCTCTATCTCTATCTCTCTCCCTCTCTCTATCTCCCTCTCTCTATCTCTCTTCTTTACAAATGAAGATTGTGAAGTTCTCTCTGTAGTGATTATTGCAGTATGTTTTAGTTTTTCAGCATATTTTACATTTAACTTATCAAATTAGCAATTGCTTAAAAATTACTCGATTATGTGCCAACCTAGAGTTTTCATAAGATATTAGATTTTAGTGATTCCCTCAGAAATTTCTGCTCCTGTCAAATCGGGATTTTCTTATATTATTTTTATTTCCTCTTGTAATCTTCACCAAATTCCGTAGACGAACATAACTTTTATGTTCTTTTCTTTTCAATGTCTATATTTAAATGTCCGCCAAATACTTTTTTCCTGTTTAATCGTATTATCGCACATATTGCAAAGTCCTTATCATTGTGAAGCTTTTTAAAGAATACACCAGTCCATCTACTTTCATTATGTAACCATTGGGTGTTGCATAAGATAAAACTGAACAGTATCAGAACTATTAAAATTTGCAGTAGGAATATTGGTCTTTCTTGTTATTCATGTTGTTGCTGTTTTTGTTTTTGTTCTTGTTCTTCATCTTCTTATTTTTTGTTGTTTTTCTATTTTCTTCTTCTTCTTCTTCTTCTTCTTCTTCTTCTTCTTCTTCTTCTTTTTCGTCCTCTTATCACACTTAAGCAATTCACTGTTATTTCTTTTGTTTTCACATTCGTTAGAAAATTTTTAAAAATGCCAATGTCAATTCTGTGGCAAAACATACCATTAAATTCTGTGACATATTTTACATTTTTTTCACCACGGCCTTTTCCGGGTTTTCACAATGCTGTTCTTTTTTTTTTTAATAAAAATACTTTTTTCTGTTCATTGTCTCTGTGATTTTACCATCAAACTAATCTTTGAATTTTAAACTTTTCAGGTCCTCCGTCATTTTTATTTGCCCTAAAAATTCGGCTGTATCTTAGCGATTGTATCAATTCCGTCTTATTTCTTATATTCTTTGTAAGTAGTTATGTATATATATATATATATATATATATATATATATATATATATATATATATATATATATATTCTCAGTAATCCTGGTAGAAGATTTGAATGGATTCGTCAAATTTATGCGAATTATATTTTGACAACATACTGCATTGCTACATGAAGTATGGTTTAGGAAGTATCATATGAAATTTAGGAGTAATATTTAGTCTTATTTCTTCATCTTATTCTTCAATTAATTCTACTTATGATTATGATTATTACTATTGTTGTTATTGCTGTATTATTGTTCTTTTGAACTTATTCCATTGTGACGAAGATAAACAAGAGAACAATAGATCTGAAGCAATTAATTTGTAATAAGCTCAAAGGTGGAAAAAGATATTGGAACTGAATGTTCTAAAACCGACGATATAGGCCATGGTAAAAAAAAATGGTATTGATGAGAGAAATATTCCAAGAATATCTTCACTAATATATACTGGAAAGTAATTCAGATATAACACATATAAATATGCGCGAAGAAACTATAAAGATAGGTGAAAAATCCTACCAGAGAATCAGCTGTATAAATCACAGGCATATTAATGTTTTCACAGTCGGAACGGTATTCCGATTAGTAACTAGGGGCACTTTGAAACTATCATGGCCCCACTTCTGTATTGTTTGTGGAATATCACTCTTACATTGGTCCGTCTCCTGCGAGATCGATCTGAACCAATCCTCCACCCCCGCATTTCTGCTTCACTATCCACTGGAGTATCGATGAAGAACTGTCGAAGATCAAGCTTGAGTTCTCTCTGTTCTGGCTATCTTTGTGAAATACTAACATCATTGATGTCTCCTGTAAATTTAATTAACTTCAACAACACTCATTAAAATGTTTAAAAATAACAACTTTTATTCATGGTACTATAAATGATTAAGAAAATGAATGCATAAAAAGTGGGATTTTAAGAAGTTCCCCGTATAAGGAATTCTTGATCTAAGTGGAAGAGGCTGACCGGCGGTTGCAGTTATGGCCACAGACGTTCAAATATTTAAATAAATGTAGGTGATCAAGGAAGTTCAAAAAGGGGCATAGAGAACAGGAATTTAGCTGAGTAAAACACCAATGGTCATCCTGCAGGGAAAGTGTTGGTCATCCGGTAGGGAATGTGTTGGTCATCCGGCAGGGAAAGTGTTGGTCATCCGGCAGGGAAAGTGTTGGTCATCCGACGGGGAAAGTGTTGGTCATCCGGCAGGGAATGTGTTGGTCTGTTAGCGGCAAGACTAGATCGATCTTCCTTCTGCACTTTCAGCTCCTGCAAACACCAATTGCACTGCTCAGATGTGTTAGCCAATAATAACGCTTGAACAATGGCCTAAGCAGCAAAGGAGAGAAAGGAAATACCCCCAGGTACCCAACGTTATTGATGGTCCAATCAAAATAATGACCATTTGTCTTACTTAACGGAGATGTAGTGACGAGAATCTCTGTCACATTCTTACTGTGCAACATATACTATATCAAAGCATACCTTACCTTTAAAGAATTAATTTGCGTCACTCATTTCAAGTGGCAATTGCTTTATCTAATGGAAACTATTTCCTGGTACAATTTCTACATCTCTAAGAATGTTCCTAATGACCAACCTTACCTAAGTTCACAATTACACTATTTACACTATGCTCCAATAGTGATATAAACCTGAAAATTCATTAGAATCATTTTTTCTTTAACATGAAACATAGTTTTTCCTTGAAGTAAAGATTAGAACACCAGACGATCTTTGACATCAGTTATAGTGTCATATTATTTATACGAACTCTGTGCTTCTTTCAGCAAAGAGCAGGAAAGGTTACAGGGTTTAAATATAATCTCCATTTCACAGTTTTAGCCTTTGTGCAAATATTTATATGCTTTATTTCTTGATTGAATCTAAACATCTATTAGCAATAACAATAAAAAACAACATATTTATCATTTCTCTTCTCCCCAATTCGATTTAAACATATATATATATACATATATGTATATATATATATTTAGATATACTTTTAACATATCATTTTTATGAAGTCAAAATAATAATAATGATAATAATAATAATAATAGTTTCTAGAGTCAAATTACAGACTTTCAATCAAATATTGAATATATAACTAAAAGAGTAATGTAACCTAAATATTGGCAGTAAGTTTTATTATTCAAAACATTTTAATATTTGGCAAGTTGTTTGTATACTCTAGTAATATAAATTATTTTAAGAACTTTTGTTTGTATCAATGTTTAAAATGAGATGTTTGTATAACTACACCTTTAACATCACTAGACTTTCTCTTCAACATAATACAAATTAGGAAATATTCTTGAAAAAATCTAAACATTCAAAACGAATTTCATAGACATCAAAATGAACAACAGCAATGAATTACTTGTTTGTGATTCATTAAGCTAATTAAAAACATCTCGTAAATGTTTACATGATTAGGCAAGAACAATGATTCATTGTGAATGATTATCGTGTAAACAAATTATATGAACACGAACTTAGAAAAACAGTAGAGTAGAAAAATTAATGTACATTAAAGCTTTAAATTACAAAGCGATATTCCAGTATATAATTGACAAAAAAGGTCTCGTTGTAAGCAATGAAAAACTAGATTTTCATAGAAGGAAGCACACCTTTTAATTCAAACTTACTTTTATTCACACTCTATTGCTATGTCATTTCGAAATAAAATATGTCGCTAACATTGATCATAAATTAACATTTTCCAACAAAGGGTTATTATCTTTTTTATTATTATTTTTTCCATTAAAAAATCCTTCAGGTGTTCCTCCACTCACAACAACAAAGGTTGTTTATTTTTTCCTTTCCGAAATTTGCATTTTTAATATTTTCTGATTTTTAACTTATAAGTGAGATTTTTAGATTCATGAAATGAATAAATATGTAAAATTTCTCATGAATATTAAAGAAGTAATATAAATAAATATGGGGTGACTAAAGTATATATTAGTCATAATCTTAAAATAGCAACATCAACAACATTATGTTTAAATACGCCTTTTGTTTCTGTGACACACAACAGAACTATATATTTGTATTCGAAAAGTATTTCTCGTCTTAGAAAAGACTGTGATATGAACTTACAAGCTTGGTAATTAGATTACATATGAAACACAAGATATATAGATGAACAGATAGTTCTGATGATACTATTAATTTTATCTAGTAAAATTTGGTAACAAATTGCAATGCGTTAGAGTTAGCATACCGACAAAATCAGCATTCGAAGTAATTCTTGACTTGCTATAATCGACTGGCAGCCACACTTAGAAATATCTAAATATATCAATCATGTGACAGGAATCGCTATCTTTTGAAATTCTCTGCCTAAAATTTTATGGACTTTCTTCCCTTGTTTCCTTCTTTTTTTATGCATGTACTGTCATTGATTTTCTTAATATTTGGTTTATATGTAATTCATAGTAATTCTATAAGGTGACATTAATAATCTTTTTCTTGTTTTTTTTTCTTTTAGATATCAAAGTAGCTAACCATGGATTACAACGATACCGTTTCCGAAAATTTGACCAATATACTGCAACGCCATTCCTGGCCGATGGGCATCTTCAAAGAATTTTGCCCAGCGGCACTTTACATTGACCGCTACGTGACACCGATTTGGTATGTAATTGGTCTCTTCACCAACCCAGTCTCGGCATTCATCTGGCTAAACCGACGAATTAGACGAAACAACTCTTCAGCCATTTATTTGGCCGCTCTCTCCCTCACAGACTTTACTTTTCTCTGGTTACACTTTATTAGCGAGCTACAAATTGCTTGGGGTATCGAAACATTTTCTTACTACGGAATCTGCGAACTATACAATTTCATTTATATGATTCCCCAGTACACTACGCCATTAATCGTGTTAGGCTTTACTGTTGAGAGGTGGATTGCTGTGTGTAAGCCATTCCATAAGGAAAGATACTGTACTGTTCGAAGGGCAATCTATGTGGTTTTTGGTCTAATATTCATGAGCACAGCTCTCGCGTCCGCTCAGACCTATATTTGGACATTTAAAGAAGAGCATCACATGTGTATTTACCGTGAGGGTGACATAGCAAATAATTTTATTATTGTTTGGAACTGGGTAAGCGAACTGACAATTTTCGGTGTCGTTCCAATATGTGTCCTCATCTTCAATATCCTGGTTATTTGTGAGATACGCAAGATCACAAAGTCTAATGCAATTCAACTACCTCACCAAGGTTCGTCTGGCGGTAATAACGCTGCTTCGACCATTACGCTCCTTTCTGTTTCATTCTATCTGATTTTTACCACCCTACCGGTGACTCTGGTTTTTGTCATCAACAACAATGTACCGACAGGTGACGTCCAACTCACTGACGAACAGATACGAGCTGATCCCCAGTGGACATCCTATTTCATGTTTGTCACAATTCGCAGACTGATTGAAGAGTTGTGCTTCTCGCATTACTCCTGTTACTTTTTTGTGTATTGCCTCACGGGTCCGCAATTCCGGAAGGCATTTCTCGCGTTACTACCAGTCAAAGTCTGTCAGGCCCTGAGTCATCCAAATCAAGGACGCTACACGATTGTGACGGGAAACGGGCGAATTACGAATGAAAGTTGCACAACTTACGTATGACATGTCGCCAGTGGACACCGATGGCTTATATGGAAATAATGCAAATGAGAAACACTTAGAAAAACCACAGGAAACGATATTTCTTACACGTTAATACATCTGTACAATTCATATTCGCATCCATAATAGGAATCATGAAATATGATCCTTTTCCTATAATTTCCGAATGGAATAAAAAAATACAATAGTTTATTTCGTCGTTCGAAATACTTCCGACAATATAATTCATAATTTCATCTTGTCACACTCGACAAATCAAAATATACCGAAATTAGCAATCTAGTATTTACGACAATAATTGTATTTAGGAAAATGTGTAACCAGTTTTAAAACATTATATACAAAAACATTTGAGCATTTGCCAATGAAAAATAAGATGTAATTATTGAATTGATGACTTAAATGTGGAATTTACAGGAAAAATATCGATGGACACAACAGTTATTAAAATAGAACTGAAATAGAAGATATTTTGCAAGTCAACTTTCAAATTCATATCGTCTACGTGAAGATTTTGTATCTAATTTCATGCAGATTTTATTTCGTTGTTAAAATTAAACATGAAACTCTAAAGGTGATCCTCATCCGATAAATTTTCAGGTTTTTTTCATATCACTTTGATTCTTTGCTAACGGTTGCTCGCGTTAAATGCATATCAATGTTGGCGCATAGTAGAAAATTGATGTCATTGGATTTGGATGCATTTATGATTTGTAGATGAAACCTTGAAAATGTGTAAATGCATCCAAATTTATTCCATGATTAAATGTCTGGTTGAGAGAATACAACAATTTATTTCAAGCAAAAAATATTCATCTTGAAATTACTCATTTAAGGAAGATGACTTTGTTAAAATATATTTGTGTGCGTCTGTGTGCGTATATATGTGCGTGTGTGCGCACACGCCTGCACATTTTATAAAGAAATTTAAAAAACTCAATAAATATTTACATCTGTAGTTAGATAAGTGAACGTGTGTAAAAGTGTTCTTGCCTCTGTGTGCCAGAGTTTGAGCATAGATTCAAATAGTGATATCAGGAACTTTCACCGAAACGGTCACTAATCTTCATACATGTCCAGCCGAAAATTTCAATCAACGAATTGTTTTATGCTCAGAGGCATGAGAGGGAAAAATAAGAGAAGCAGAGAACGAAAACATTATTTTGCTCATTTGGGTATTAAAGACATTTGAAGTCAAGTACACAGAAAAGGTTTCAGTTAAAAATAAAAGACATTTGAAGTCAAATACACAGAAAAGGTTTCAGTTAAAAATAAAAGAGCATATTAGTGCTGAAATAAATTTTAATTTAAAAGAAATATTTAAATGACACATTTGGCAAAAAACTTCCTTACCTGAATATGACGTGACTCTCCTATTTTGATTATTAGAATGTATTGGCCATAATTAGTAATAACTGAACAGACATACTCCCACATGCTCACAGACACACACACATACACACATACATACAATTAATTTATTTTTGAAAATATTGTCCTGGTAATGTGATAATTGGTGATTGTGTGATAAATATTTGTTCAAATACCTAAAGTACAATCTATGAACTCCTGAGTTTATATGTTCATTGAAAATATACATATCAAATTGGTAGACATAATCATACATTTAGTCATTTGTTAATTATTTCTTTACACCTGTGCAGATTGTTTAATTATATGATTACTAATTACTTCAGAGCGTTTGTGTTTTTTCTTTGTGTTTAGAAAATACAATGTGAGTTTTTAAAATGTTGATACCTGGGGAGATTCTGTATTCTAATAAATTGCTGATATTTATGTCTTATTATATCAAATGTAAGAAGGTAGACATAATTTAAGTAATCTCCAAATCAAAGAGTTATTTGAAATTTCAGAGATTTGTGAATATGGTGAAATATGAAATGAAATTATCTTGAGTCAAATTTTTCACAGAATATATATTGGCAAAGAGAAACCATTATCCGAAGCGTCTTACGTCCGAACATTGACCGAAAAATATTTATCATTGAGTTTCTTCTACGTTTTTAAAGAAGTTTTATTTAAAGAATAAATAGATAGTGTCACAAATGAAACAACTTAACACATACGTAAGTAAAATTCCCAACTCTCTATTTAAGCTCAGAAAATCTGAACTTAAATCCGTCAATTCGTTGACAATTTCAAGTAAATGAATTTAAATCAATGTCTTCCAGTCCCACATTCTCACTCTCAGTATATACAATATGTATGTATGAATATATATATATATATATATATATATATATATATATATATATATATATATATAAACAGCTAATAAGGATTAATATAAGTAGATGTATAGTTCGGATATATTAATACCAAAAGACTCCATTCTGATATTTCTTGAACTTTTTTTATAGATTCAGAGTAGGGCAAGTTATTTCCTTATATAATGAAGCATATGTAGACACATCGAGGAACGTATATATATATATATATATATATATATATATATATATATATATATATATATATATATATATCTTCCATTGAACTTTAAAAATCCTATGTAGAAAAAAGTAATCCTAAACCAGACACTCTAAAATCACCAAAACCCCTCAACCTTTCCTCACTGCAAACTGGCCGGATATACTGGCTCTCTGTGAGAACAACCTTGTCTCGTCTATCCCTTTCTTTGATCTCTCGATCCCAGGCTACCTTCCTCTCCTCAGAAAAGACTCTCTAACCCACATGCACGGCCTTGGTGTCTACGTCAAGGACCATCTCCCTCTGGCCAGAGAGTTGTCTCTCGAATCGCCAGACCAGTCGTACATGTGTCTCCGACTATCTCTTCTCAATGCGGTAAACTATCTCTTATTTCTTTACCGCTCTCCATCCTCTCAAGGCTGTGCGATACTCGATAGCATTTCTGACAGCATAGACAAGGCTCTCTCTCTCCATCCGTTTGCTCACATATTTGTCGTTTGGCGACTTTAACGCCCATCATACCAAGTGGCTTAACAATGCTACTACTGGCCACGCAGGCATTCAAACACTTAATTTTTCAGTTTCTCAATCCCTCACGCAGATAGTTAACTTCCCCACTCGTTTTGCCTTCAACTGGGAAGGTAAAGTCTCTCTTCTCGATCTGTGTTTTACCTCCATCCTCGAGTCTTGTAGCGCCACGCAACTCTGCCCTTTTGGTAACTCATGCAAAGAACCTCCTACCACTAGAACTTCGTTCTACTATTAACGAGCTGACTGGGACTCGTTCCGTGATTTCCTCCGCGATGTCCTCTGGGATGCTGTCTTTAAGCTCCCCGTCCAAGAATGTGCTTCTGAGGTCTCATCCTGGGTTAAAGCTGGAATCGACGCTTTCATCCCCTCAAGGAAATATAGGGTCAAGTCTCGCTCCTCCCCCTGGTTCTCCGCTGCTTGATCAACCGCCATTGCCCATAGGAACCATTTCTTTCGCCTATTTCGTAGCGACATGTCGGACTGCAATAGACGTCTCTTTGCATCCGCCCGTAACGAGTGTAAGCATGTCCTTAAAGATGCTAAGTCACTATTTGCTGCTCGGATGAAGGATCGTATTGTATCTCGCAAATTTGGCTCCAAAGATTATTGGCGTCTCTGCAAGAGCGTATAGAACAATTTGTTAACCCTCTGTACCTCCTTTGTTCAACCAGTTCGAAGCCCTGACCTCCTCTGCCGACAAGGCTGAGTGCTTTGCTCGGAAATTTTCATCCAACTCAACGCTCGATTCTTCCGGTGTACCCATATCCTACTTCCCTCTTAGAACTGAGGCCCTAATGAGTGTGTTAAACATAACCCCATCTTTGGTATTGGGCATTATCTCTAATTTAGACCCCAACAAGGCTAGTGGTGAAGATGGGATACCAGTCATTGTCTTGAAGAAATGCGCGCCTGAACTGGAGCTCGCCCTCTGTAAACTATATAAATACTGCCTCAAGGAATCATAATTTCCTGACTGCTGGAAGTCCTCTTCGATTGTTCCTGTCTTCAAGAACTCTGACGATCCCTCTGACCCTTCTAACTACCGTCCTATCAGTCTCCTACCCCTCTTCGGCAAACTCTTCGAAGCCCTAATCAATACCGAAGTGGTTAACCACCTTACATCCCATGATCTGCTCTCAGACAAGCAATATGGCTTCCGCTTTGCCCGATCTACAGCTGATGTGCTTACGGCTATCACTGAAACTGTCTACCAAGCTCTTCAAAATAACGGGGAAGCTCGTGCCGTTGGCCCTAGACATCTACAAAGCATTTAATAGGTTTTGGCATGCCGGCCTTCTTCGCAAGCTCCATGTTTATGGCATTACGGGTCGATCGTTTGACCTAATACAATAATTCCTGTCAAACAGTGAATTGAAGGTCGTTCTCAACGGATTCTCCTCCAGTTCCTATCCCACGAACGCAGGTGTTCCTCAAGGTTCCATCCTAGGCCCCACTCTATTCCATATCTACATAAATGATCTTCCAGACGCCATAAATTCACAAGTTGTCATCTACGCGGACGACACCACAATTTACTCCTGCCTGAAAAACAAATCTAGTGTCACGGATAAAACTAACCTGGCCGTGCGTCTGGAAAAGGACCTCCAATCGGTTGTGAACTGGGGCAGGAATTGGCTGGTCAACTTTAATGCCTCAAAAACAAAACTGCTCTCCATTAATCACCACAGAGATCCTTCCTTGCCCTCCTTTAGAATGTCTGACGCTCAACTTCTCGAGAGCAACTCTCTGCAGCTGCTCGGTCTCTCGTTGACCGTTGACCTGAGATGGAACAAATACATTGAGTCAATTGCTTCGTCCACCGCAAGGAAAGTTGGCTCCCTGTGGCGCGCCAGGAATTTTTTCTCCCCGGAATCGATCCTTCAGGTCTACAAATCAACAATTCGCCCTTGCATGGAGTATTGCTGCCATATATGGTCTGGAGCCCCTTCTGTTTGCCTCGGGTTTCTTTATAGGCTCCAGAGGCGGATATGCAATATAATTGGCCCTGTTCAGGCATGTTG